CGACGCGGCCAAGCACAGGCTGCTGGTGCTGGTCAAGGACAATGGCGAGCCCGCGCTGTCTGCCAGCGTCACGCTGCACGTGCTGCTGGTGGATGGCTTCTCGCAGCCCTACCTGCCGCTGCCGGAAGCGGCGGCCGACCAGGCGCAGGCCGATCCGCTGACCGTGTACCTGGTCATCGCGTTGGCGTCGGTGTCGTCGCTGTTCCTGTTCTCGGTGCTGGCGTTCATCGCGGTGCGGCTGTGCAGGCGGAGCAGGGCCGCCTGGGTGGGTGGCTGTTCGGTGCCTGAGGGCCACCTTCCGGGCCACCTGGTGGACGTCAGCGGTACTGGGACCCTGTCCCAGAGCTACCAGTATGAGGTGTGTCTGATGGGAGGCTCAGGGACCAGCGAGTTCAAGTTCCTCAAACCCATTCTTCCCAACTTTCTTGCTCCAGGTGAGGAGAGGGCTAGTGAGGCAAACCCCAGTTTCAGGAATAGCTCTGAATTCAGTTAAGAATTAGTAGGGGTCTACTGACTCTAGTCTCAGTTAATTTGTGAAAAATCCTTTTTTTACTGCTTTGCCCATTGAGGTTGTTTCTTTTTATTTGAAATGTAAATATCTCATTCAGTGTATGTTACTAGTGTGTCTAAATGTGTTGCTTTGTGGTATAATGAATGCTAATTTTCTTTGTATTCTCATTGGCGATTAGTCTCTCTGTACCTTAATTCCACTTAAAATGTGAAAGTAAATTTTGCTTTCCCAAAAGTCTGAATTTTTAAGTTAGAGCATCTTTTGCTATACTCCCCTTCCCCAGGGCCTAGGTAATTTTGCAGTCCTACATTTTTAAATGTTTGCTATTCCTACACGGTTTTTTTTTAAAGCCCAGAATATTTGTTTTCTATTCTCTGAGGCTAGTGTAAGTTTTATCTTGTGAAGTCACATTGGCTAAAACCATTAATATAGGTATATTCATGAAAAACAAAGCACTCTGTCACATTTTTCTAAATATATACTATCACAAAGTGTCCACACATGGAAGTTATGATTCTTTAGAGATGTGAGAACTTTGACTGTTGGATTCCACAAGCCATTCACATTAAAAGTATTCAATAAATCAGCCACTAATATTCCAAACTGTAGTTAAATGCATAGCACATGTCCAGTCATTTTCAAGGACATGCTAATTCGTCAAGCTTTCTATTTAAAACAACATTGGGGGGGGGGATATAAAGAAGTAAAACTATATTTGCTGATAATCTGATTATGTATGTGGAAAACTGTAAAATAATTCTCCAAAAAAGTTATAGTTAATGAGTACATTTAGCAAAGCTGCAGTTTACAAGGCCAGTACACAAAATTTAATTATATTTATCAAATCTCTTGAATTTTAAGTAGAAAGTTTTTAATAATTAAAACTGAGATTTTTAAAAGGAGGAATTGAAATAAGCAGAGGTTAATTTTTTTAAAGATTTGAGGGAATGTATGTCTCTGTCCTTAACCAAATTTTAGAAACTTCAAATGTAGTTTAACATTGCATTTTTTCAAAAATTTCTGGAGCATTTCTGATTCAGTTGGAAATAAGCTCGTGGGGAAATATGTATCTTGGTCTGTCTGCTCATTCCATTTTTTTTGCATGGACTGCTTCTCTTTTCCCCTTTCAATTTCCTACTTTTCAATGCTTTTTTCTTTTTAGGTGCTTGAATTATGTTTTTCAACAGCTCCCCATTTATTGCATGATTAGCACAATGACTTGAAGATTATAGGTTGTTAATAAAATTTTTGAATGACTGATTGAAAGAAAGAAGTGTCTTTATTTCACCTGTGATATATATTGATATTTAAATACTCACAGGACAAACTTTGCTGGAATTAAGTGCTCTCTGATGCATAGTGAATTTATATATATTATATATAGGTTATTAATTGAAGAGATCACTATTATTTGAACACCATGGAGTTATCAGTTCTTGGTGTCTCTTTCCTTCAACATATTTTTCCTTTTCACTTCCTGCTTAATTTGGCTCTCCTCTCCTGCCCACAGCTTAAGGAATACAAATGGGGAAACTGTATTTTGTATTTTATAATTTAAAAGTTGGATTCGTCCAACTTTCTCTATTTCTTGCAGTTCAATTTTTTATCTAGACATTAAAATAAAACTTTAATTTTTAATGTTCTTCTGCCTACTTTAAAATGTTTATATCATTTGATGCTTGAGCTATACTGTTAAAATTATAAGATGAATGTGAAAGACCTTATTTTGAGATTATTAGTGTTGTGGAGCATCATCTTGGTATCCAAAGTCTCTGATTAACCAACTTATTACCTTTAGGATCTTGGATAAGTCACATAATTTCTTTCCCCCCAAACTAGTAATAACAGCTATGTCAATAGCTTGCAGTTATGATCAAATAAGATAATATATAGATGCATAATTGCTGTTATTTTACATATCACTAATATTAAGACTAAACTTAATAGATGAGCCTTTGTGTAATATTCCTGATAATTGTGAAGGAGCTAGATCGAGCACATGATATTTGTGTTGTTCATTTCCCTGCCTGAAACATTGCACTAGCTTCCTTTTAGTCTTAGGATAAAATCCAAGCATCCATTATTTGGCCCCAATCTATCTCTCCAGCCTTCTCTTCCCACTTACTTTTGGGACAGTAATTTTGGCTACACTGATCTTCCTTCATTGTCTAGAATAGCTATGCTTTACTGTCCTAGGGCCTTTACATATCAGTTTCTCATATACAGAATCTTGCCATTTTGTAGTTGTAGCTTGGCAAACTTCTCATCATTCATGTTCCATATTAAATGGCATATCTTTGGGAATTTTTTCTCAAACCCTGCCCCCAATTAAAATTAGATCTCCCTATCCATACGTTCAAGTTCACTCAGTAAATTTCCTATATAGCACTTTTCACACTGTTTGAACATCTATTGAAAATCTTCACCGCATTAGATGGAAAACTGTGTAAGGTATATGTCTGCCTTGTTACCACTATATGTCCAACTCTACAAACTTAACAAGTATCTGTTTCCACAGATGAAAGTTTGAACATCTGTTCAAAGTCTTCACCCCATTAGATAGAAAATTGTGTAAGGTATATGTCTGCCTTGTTACCACTATATGCCCAGCTTCTACAAACTTAACAAGTATCTGTTTCCACAGATGAAATACGGTTATACTGATGAAACCAATAATGGTAAAATTACTGTGAAATAAAAAAGGAGAAAGCTCTGAAGGAATGAGGCATTTGTGGTCTCTGGATATACCCACTGACATCATCTATAAAAGCTCTGTATTCCTCGAGTGAATGTTAAAATGTGGAAGGAATGAGGTATTTGTGGTCTCTGGATATACCCACTGACATCATCTATTATAACTTTTTATGCATGAGTTCATCTTTTCATAACATTTTTTTCTTACTATAAAAGCAACTCGTGCACATTTTACAAAAGTTGGAAAATAAGAAAAACACAAATATGATAGTGAAGCATGTTGTAATGTAGAGCAAAATATTTTCAAATTTGTTTAATAATTACAGACAGGGGTGGTAGCCCTAGCTAAGGTGTCCACTTCCACAAAATCATATAAATGAGGACTCTGCCAGGAACAGTACTGTCTTTAAATAAGGGCGCATTTAATTTCCCTCGGTTGTGTTTCTTAACTCAAGTAACACAGGAAACTCCTCCAGTAGCATCAACTGGTTTTAGGAAGGGGAATAAGCAATTTAAAAGATCAAAACAACAAAAGCCCCCAAAGCACCTTCTCCAAGAGTTTGAAACTGCGAGTGAACGCACGGTGGCGCTGTTGACTAAGAAGGAGAATTAAACCACAGGCACTGTGCGTACTCAGTAACGCACCGATCCGGTACCGTACACCAGGAGTTGTGAGCTTGGGCAGATTTAAAGCAAGCAAATCTGAGCGCTGGAAGGGATTATCTGCTAGATCTTCTCCAAAGGTTGGGAGGCAAAAGACTTTGCATTTCCCAGCGCTGTCGGAGGCTCAGCTTGGCAATATTTCTTGGAAGAACATGGCAGAAAATGAAATGGAGGCCGGAGGGGAGCGATTTCTTAGACAAAGGCAAGTCCTGTTTCTCTTTGTTTTTCTTGGTGGGTTTCTGGCTGGGTCCGAATCGAGACGCTACTCTGTGGCTGAGGAGAAAGAGAGGGGCTTTTTAATAACCAACCTAGCAAAGGATTTGGGGCTGAGTGCAGGGGAATTGGCCGTAAGGGGGGCCCAAGTTGTGTCTAAAGGGAACAGACAGCCTATTCAGCTCAACCATCAGACTGGTGATTTGCTCCTACATGAGAAACTGGACCGGGAGGAGCTATGCGGCCCCACAGAGCCATGTATACTGCATTTTCAGATTTTACTGCAAAACCCTTTGCAGTTTATTCCAAATGAGCTCCAGGTCATAGATGTAAATGACCATTCTCCAGTATTTTTTGAAAATGAGATGCAGCTGAAAATCCCAGAAAGCACTCCACCAGGAACAATCATTCCACTGGGAAATGCTGAGGACGTGGACGTGGGAAGAAACGGTCTCCAAAACTACACGATCACTCCTAATCCCCACTTCCACATTCTCACAAACAGCCGTAGGGATGGAAGGAAGTACCCAGAATTAGTGCTGGACAAAGCGCTGGACCGTGAAGAGCAGCCGCAGTTCAGTTTAACGCTCACGGCGCTGGATGGCGGGTCGCCACCCAGGTCTGGCAACGTTCAGCTCCACATCCTGGTCTTAGACATAAACGACAACGCCCCAGAATTTACACAGTCGCTCTATGAGGTTGAAGTTCTAGAGAACAGCCCCGTTAACTCTGTTATTGTCACTGTCTCAGCTTCTGATTTGGATACAGGAAATTTTGGGACAATATCATACTCATTTGCTCATGCTTCTGAAGAAATTACCAAAACCTTTCAACTAAATCCCATTACTGGTGATATCCAACTAATCAAATACTTGAATTTTGAGGCAATTAATAGTTATGAGTTTGACATAGAAGCCAAGGATGGTGGAGGCCTTACAGGAAAATCAACGGTAATAGTTCAGGTAGTTGATGTCAATGACAACCCACCAGAGCTGACCTTGTCGTCAATTACCAGCCCTATCCCGGAAAACTCGCCAGAGACGGTGGTGGCCGTTTTCAGTGTTTCCGATCCAGACTCTGGGGACAATGGGAGAATGATGTGTTCCATCCAGAACAATCTCCCCTTTGTCCTAAAACCATCTGTAGAAAACTTTTACACCCTAGTGTCCGAAGGAGCTCTGGACAGAGAGAGCCAGGCCGAGTACAACATCACCATCACCGTCACCGACATGGGGACCCCCAGGCTGAAAACCCAGCACAACATCACCCTGCTGGTCTCCGACGTCAACGACAACGCCCCCGCCTTCACCCAAACCTCCTACACCCTGTTCCTCCGCGAGAACAACAGCCCCGCCCTGCACATCGGCAGCGTCAGCGCCACAGACAGAGACGCGGGCGCCAACGCCCAGCTCACCTACTCGCTGCTGCCGCCCCACGACCCGCAGCTGCCCCTGGCCTCGCTGGTGTCCATCAACGCGGACAACGGCCACCTGTTCGCCCTGAGGGCGCTGGACTTCGAGGCGCTGCAGGCGTTCGAGTTCCGCGTGGGCGCCACG